TCTTTACCACCTCACTAAATCTGCCAAATCATGCTTGAGGAGACTGTTTAAGCCCATAAATGGCCTTCAGTAGTCAGTACACCTTGCCATCCTCCCCCTAAGCAACAAACCCTGGTGGTTACTCCATATAGACCTCCTCGAGTAGATCACCATGCAAGAAGGCATTCTTGATATCAAGCTGGTAGAGGGGCCAATCATACACCACAGTAAGAGAAATCACAATACAGACTGAACCAATCTTAGCAACCGGGGAAAAAGTCTCTATGTAATCAATACCATAGGTTTGGGAATACCCTTTGGCAATCAGTCTATCTTTCAGCCGCTCTACACTACCATCTGGTAAATACTTAACTGTATAAACCCACTTACAACCAACAACCTACTTACTAGGAGGAAGGGTGGTGAGTTCCCATGTATGATTATGGGCTAGAGCTAAGAGTTCTTCCTCCATCGCACAACACCATCCTAGAGAGGCAATGCCTTCTTAGGCATCTTTAGGGATAACAAAGAGATAAACTGGCGATGGGAATCGGAAAGGTGAGTTAGTGAAACATAATTAGAAATAGGATAAAGGGTACAACTGCATTTACCTTTCCGCAAGGCAACGAAAAAACCAAGATCAAATACTGGGGTTGGGGCTAGTGTAGGAGTAGTTGTCGGATCTATCAACGATGATGTAACTAGAGGAGGAGCCAACACATGTGGGCGATATGTATACATGTGATGGATACGTGGTCATTCAATAGGTGGTGGCACTGAAGGCAAGGACTCTATCACAACTGGAATAAGAGGAACATAATCCACAACTGGAAGAGGAAGGGGAGGAGGTAATGAAGAGGAAGAAACATCACCAAATCCCAAGAAAAATGGAGTAGACTCAAAGAAAGTAACATCAACACATGCAAATGAACGTCAAGAGTTGGGATGATAACACTTATATCCTTTCTGAGTCCGGGAATATCCAAGGAAGATGCACTTAATGGATCGTGCATTTAACTTGTCCCTTCTTGGCTCCAGATTATGAACGAAGCAAACACACCCAAAAAACCCAAGGAGAAAGAGGAAATGGAAACAAGGTAGGAAACAATGTGGTGAATGGAGAATGACCATCAAGGATAGACGTAGGCATCCAGTTAATCAACAAGCAAGAAATAAGCACTGCATCACTCCAAAAAGTTTTGGGGACATTCCTGTGATGCATGAGGGATTGAGTTGTTTCCAAAAAAATGACGATTCTTTCTCTCAGCCACCCTGTTTTGTTGTAGGGTATAGGTACACGAAGTTTGGTGGATAATGTCACGTTGGTTTAGGTATTCTTGAAATGATGAAGAGAAATATTCACAGCCATTATCGGAATGAAAAAATTTTAATGTGAACACCAAATTGGTTGTGAATCTCARCATAAAATTTTTGGAAAATGGTAAACAATTCACTCATTTCTTTCATTAAATAGAGTCACATCATCCTTGAATAATCATCAACAAAAATGACAAAATATTTATATCCATTGTATGACATTACTTTATAAGGACCCCAAACATCTAAATGACCAAAGAAAAAGGACTTGACATACAGTTATCAACTCTAGGACTAAAGGGAACACGATGATGTTTYCCCAACTGACATGACATGACTCACAATCCAAAACAGACAGATGACTTAATGAAGGAACCAAAGACTTCAAAACTTTTCGTGAAGGATGACCAAATCTACAATGCCACTGGAGATGAGAAAGAGACGATTGGAGAGTTGTTGACGTACTTCCACCACCATCAAGATAATATAATCCAGCAGCTTCATGCCCTCCACCAATCTTCATCTCTGTCTTGAAATCCTAAAAAACACACGAAGAGGGGTAACAAGTAATGGAGCAATTTAGAGACTTGGTCAACTTACTAAATAACATAAGATTAAAAGGAAATTTAGGAACATACAAAATTGAGGATAAGGATACAGAGTCCATGCTAACATTACCAACGCCACAAATGGAAGATGTAGAACCATTAGCAAGGGTAACAGATTGTGATGTTGGGCAATAAGAGAGGGAAGAAAACACACCTGGAGTTCCAATCATGTGATCGGAGGCTCCATAATCAATAATCCAAGGATTGGGTGTGGATGCCAGACAATCCATACCTGAGTGTGTGAGAGTGGCCGTGTTCTACTGAGATGTGGCCTGAACAAATCTCTCATACTCATTTTGGGGAATACTCATCATCTCCTTCCCAGTAATATTTGTGGATGTAGAAGGTATCTGATCAGCTGAATGACTCTCCTGTCTGAAACTATTATCACTAGTCACGGCATGATTAGCCCAAGTTGAGGGTGGACCATGTAAGTCATAGTAGTAATTAATGATATGTCCATCCATACCACAGTGTGTACACCTCATTGAACCCAAATTACGTCCTCTGCCACGGGCTCTCCCTGAATCTCGACCTCCAGTACAACCACCACCACGGTTATATGTAAGTCCATTACCACCACTTTGGCCATATTCCGATTCATTACTGCCACTACGACCAGACTGAGCTCCCTGAGCTCCACCTCTAACACCATGGCCTCTGGATACTAGAAAGGCTGATCTATAAAAAACGTTGGGGTTCTCGGTAGATCCAATGAAAATCCTCCTAAGTCGAGCAAACACCTCTTTTAAGGAAGGGAGAACTGATCCTCCTAGTATTTGAGCCCGCATTGGTTCATACTCAGATTTCAGCCCCACCAAAAATCGACTCACATCAAGTTGTTCCCTCTGTCGTTGCTGAATTTTGACATCAGAAGTGAGGGGTGATGAATATTCAATTCATTACGAATGTTTCTCATACTAACATAGTACTCCTTAAGACTTTGATTACCCTATTGTAGATTAAAGTATTCCTGATACAACTGATGTACTCTAGTTATATTTTCTTGGCCTGAATACAACATCTTAGCATGGCCTCACACTTCTTTGGCAGTATCAAGAAACATGAAATTTACTCTAATCTTGGGTTCCATACTATTCCATAACCATGTGATAATATGTGCATCTGCTTGTTTCCAATCATCATATTCATGAGAATCAATGGAGGGTTTTTCTTCTCTTATGTGTTTCACCTTCTTCTTTGCCTTAAGAAAGACTTCTACAGATTTAGCCCAAGGTACATAATTTTCTCCATTTAGTTTAATAGAGGTCATTTGAACATTCAGGTGGTCAGTAGGAACCATCACACTAGTCTTGCTATCACTATTGTCTCCCATTGCTAAATTCCGGTGTTGCTGAATTCTGCAGAGTAGACCACACTACACTGATTTTAGCACTCTTTACACCACAAACCCTACCTCACTTCTACCTGAAACTTCACCACACTGTTTGAGGAACACTTCCCCTTCGAATCACACTGAAAATTGCACAAACCCTAGCACACTACAATCTGAAATACCACCATATCGTCTAAAATAGACTCATCACTTAATTCACACCAAGAAAATGCATAGAACCTCTTTTACCTGATCACTCAAAAATCAGACCACACAAAGCACCCACTGCACCACACGAATCAACCCTCCAAGGGAAGAGGGCGATCATTCCTTTTCAACCCTTTCCCTCATCTCCAACTGATGGCGAAGAAAGCAAGAGAAAACCTTAAACTGGATACGCAAAGAACTGAATTCTGGGCAGATCCGATTTGCTCAGTTTGGCTCTGATACCATATTAGAGTTTGGCCTGCCTATTAGACTGATAATAGTCAAGGAAAAGAGAGAAGAGAGAAGAGAGAAAGAGACAGAGGAGAAGAGTATAAGAGAGGACAAGGAGGAAAATGTCTGGTTTGAATGAGAGAAAAGTTAACCCTCCCATTCGGCCAGATCTATTTTATATTACTAAAATATTGTGGAAAAGTCACATGTGCCCCTACGTAAGTTAGGGACATTAGATCTAACACAAACTTACACATCAACACCTAACCATTAGCACAAAGACAGAAATACCCCTACATACTCGACGCTAAAAAATTTGATTGCAAGTTTTTCAATGACATCAAAAACTGCAAACATAACGGTCGTGGATTTAATTTTTGATTTCAGATCATATTGGAAGGCCAAGTTAATTTAATACCCTGCAAGATGAAACCTTTGACCCATTTATCTATTCCATCTTTTATCAATAATCTCCATGATTGGGCCATATTCAACTTTCTTATAATTAAAATACTTTTTCAATGATTCCTTTGCCTTCAACATAGCATGATACATATACTTCATTACAGGTCTAAATTCAGAATCTACAAGTCTCAGTGCCCCAATAAGAGGTGATGTAAAATCCACAATCATTTTGCATTGTTCCCAAAATTTAGAATCCAAAACTATTTTTATTACTTCTTTCCCCTTTGCATCTTTGGCATACCTAGAGTTAATCAAACTCCAATCTGTCACCAAATTTTGCAAATCATGCATGTGCTTCAAAATGCTATCCTGAAATTAATTGCAAAACGAATGGCTCCAGGGTGTACTATTTCAGTCCAATCAGATCTCTTCCTTAGCATTGAGAGTACAAAAATATGATTGTAAACAAATTTGGTAATTTTAAATGCACGTTGAACTACATTTGTAACATAATCCATTTCCCCAATTTCCTTTAACATCAAATTTAGACAATGTGCTACACAATATGACCAATATATGTATGGGAATTCTGCTTTCAACAATGATAATTTATAAACAATAATAAAAAATATTAATAAAAATCATTAATGTTTATATCTATATATATATATAATTAGATTTCTCGTACTTGTGTATGGAGTCATTCACTAATATCGAAGGAGACTGGATCTGCATTCACACGCGCTTCACACGCACATCCTATTGGAAACATCTCCCGTATTTATTAATTGTTATTCAGGGCGGATGTTGACGAACGGGATCTGCTCCTCATGGGCGCCTCACAGGCACATCCACCGTGCATTGGAAACATCTCCCGTGAATAATAGAACTTATATAAGTACGGGAGAAGTTCCCAATGTAGGATGTGCGTGCGAGGTCGGTCTGAGGCGCCCTGTGTGAGGAGCAGCTCCGGTCTCAAGACCGGCTTTGCTCACTCCCTCGGTCCCTCCTCGGAATAGCGAGAGTGGCTTTGGCTTCATCGATCCGACGCCATCGTTACAGAGTAAGAGAGAAGATGAGCTCTCCTTCGTCTTCTGCTTATTCTCCATCCGAGAAACAAACGAAGCAAGGCTTGGGGTGGATGGAATGGCTGAGAGGGTGGCTTTATTTGGTATATGAAATGCTTTTCCAGAGGATTATGGCTAGCCATTTGCAGAATCCATTGCCTTTGCCTCCTCTTAATGATCTCACTTGCATTGTCACTGGCTCCACTAGTGGTATTGGCCTCGAAATTGCCAGGTAAATCCGTTTGATCCCTATTTGTCTCTTCTACATAATTAGTTAAGGCATTTGGGTTTGTTGTAATGAGCTCTTTCGTTTATAATTAAGTTGAATTTTACAAGATGTGTTTTTTTTCATTAGTTTGAAAGCATATCTTTATCTGCTAGGAAGTTTGAAATTATATCTTGCTTCATCGTTTTTAGTTTGTAGAGTTTCAGATACAAGTTAGCTGCTCTGGTTAAATGCGGCTTCTTGAAGTATATATAACTTAGGTAGTAGGTAGTTCGATGAGTTTTTTCCCCTGTAATTGTTATTGCATATATTTTAGTGCTTTAGATAGTTGCTTATGGGTGGTTTATTACATTTTTCCTTTATGTTTTCCTACTTCTTTGGTTGCTGTAATTCATGCATTTTCCTTGTCTTTCTGTACAGAACTTTGGTGATTTGGTGTATTGGTTTTGCTTTTTTTTTTCTAGTTTATATTGAGTTTGAGACATGTAAGGTTTCTCTTTTGGATATGACGGCTGGTTTTTTTCTAGTCAAGCTGATTGGCCATCGTTTTTGCCATTCTTCTTGAAGCAAGGGAGAATTCCTTGCAGCTTCACTGTGAGATTTTGTTAGGTTACACCCGAGATCAGTAAGGTTGCAAAATGTTCTTCAGAGGAGATATATATGGAGTGGTTGGATAATTACTTGGACTTTCAATATTCTAAGTGCCTGGACGTTGGGCATGGATGGAAGAATTTTGTCTACAATGGTATAAAGGAGTGGTGGAGGCACTTAATTGATCTTTGTGGTTAGGTTCTTTTCTCATGTTTATTCCTGGTATATTTTTGGAAGTATGGATGAGATGATTAACGTTAAAAAGCAGTTTATGAACTCTCTTTGTAGAATTTATTATTTACCGAAATATAACTAGTGACTTGATGATCCAATTTGTTTGCTTGGTTTCACATTTTGCTTCTTTTTATTAGGATTTAAGGGTGGAACAATCTCATATTACCACACAATAATTCTAACTTTTCTGTTTAGATGTCATACCTAATATTTGAACATTGGTTCTCTTGGACTGGATATGGACCTAATCTTTGATGGTCCTTTTATTATGCAAAGTTGCTTAGGTAGTTGTCAAAGCTCTCCAAAGTCTCTTCTTGGACTGAAGGATGTATTCTTCATTCTAAGAGATGCTAACCATTTTCTTGGTCATTTGAAGTTTCCCTTTCAATTTGTTAAGAGGACTGATATTGTGCAACTCATGCTATGCAACAAAAGGCTATCGGAGGATGGGCTGTGGTTGGACCAACTCCCTGATTGGTTATTGGCTTTTTTGTCTTGATTTGTTGTTTCGGTGTTATCTTTAGGTTGTTTTCTTCCCTTAGTTCCTGTTGGGTCTGTATGGACTATTTGTTTGTTTGATAAATGAATTTCCCATGACCAAAAAAAGGAAAATATTGACGTTTTCTTAAACAAAGTGTCCAGTCTTTGGCTTGAACTCACCATTGCACCAAACACTGGCCCCTATATACTATATCCTCCAATACAATTACCTTATATTTTGCTGGTAAAACTCTTCTGTAGAATAGCCTTGATTTTAAGATAGGTTCCTATATCTTCCAACTTAATGGCTGTTGATCATGTAGGTAGGGATTGAGAGGAGTTGTTTGTACTGCAACCTGGCCCCGTTTGTTTAGTTCTTCCCCTCTTTTTCTGGCCCACTGGCCATTCCCTTTTTGGGCTTAGGTTGTTTTTAAAGAGTATCTTCTTTGGATTCCCTGCTTTAAGGTACTTTATATTGTCTTTTGATATGCTTCCTTAATAAAATCTTTTATTTTTGATTAAAAAGAAAAGCTCAAACATTGTTATCCACACACTTCATGGTGTACTTGAAATGACCACTGAAAGATCTCTTGAACTTTTCAAAAGCCTTAAGGACTAGACATCTAGTCTAGACTCTAGAACCAATGAGCTAATATCTGTACCAAGATGGCAAGATGGGCAAGACATATCTTTAAGGGTTCTTTGGTTCCACTCCTTCCTAATTTCACAATAGACTGCTAATGAAACTATGCTTCAAATAATTTTGGTCTGGTTGCTATCCAGGCCACCTCTCCCAAGACCCTAGATAGTTGGGACTAACATTGGGTAATGGCCTTTTCTTAGCTATCCAACTATCTAGGCCAATGATGAGGAAGGTTGCTAGCAAATAGGAAGCTTGTTCAGATGGATTCTTAGGTTGGCCAACACCATAGTTGATATTCTAGCTAGAAGAGGGGTAAAAGGGTAGTCCTTTTATTAGGTGGTTGGTATGACGGGGTAAGTGTGTGTTACTTGTCAGCCATGAATGATGGCCAATGGAATTTCCATTTTGGAGTAAGATTTATGGCAATATTTAAAGAAAACTAATTAAAATGATTTCTTTCTGAATAAGAATTAAGTAAAGGTTCCATCTGTTAGAGGCCAATTTACAAATAATAAACAAATAACTTGCATCCTCCTTAGCTTTTTCCCCTCTTCTTAGATCTAGTCTCTTGATAACAATTTAACATGCTATTCTAGATCTTCTTCTCAATATCGTGTCTAATGCTCCATTTTTTTATCCAATGAAGTTTCTATATAAATCCATATATGGTTTTTGCCCCTTCACTAAGGATAGACAAATCTTGGATAAAATTTTGATGGCTAATGAAGTAGTGGAGGATTTCAAAAGAGTAGGGAAGAAGGGGTTTTGTTTATAAGCTGGATCCAGAGAAGGCGTATGATCATGTAGATTGGGGATATTTGCAATGGGTGATAAAGGAGATGGGTTTTGGGCAAAGATGGGTAAAAGTAGGAAATGGGGTGTCTAAGAACTACTCACTTTTTGATTTTGATTAATGGCTCCCCAAAAGGTTTATGGCATCTAGAGGGTTGAGACAAGGAGATCCCTTGTCCCCAATATTGTTCATTCTTATGGTAGAAATCTTCATCAAATTGTTAAGGCGGGCTGATGAGAGAGGCTTGTTTAGGGGATTTAGAGTGGGTAGATTAAACCAAGTGGTGTCTCACCTGCAATTTGCTGATGATACCTTGATCTCGGGAGAAGTTAGGGATATTCAGGGGGTGAGAATACTTGGGGGAATTTTGGAGATCGTGGAAGCAAAGTGTAGTTTGGTAGTGTTACAAATGGGAGAAAGAAGGCTGGAGGAGTGTCACAGTGTTGGGCTGCACAATTTGGCAGTGGCTTTTGAAGTACCTTGGTCTTCCCCTAGGAGGCAATCCTTGTGATGAGTCCTTTGGGAAATTATAATTGAGAGATTCTTAAGAAAATTAGATAATTGGAAAAAGAATTACCTCTCAATAGGTGGGAGACTACCTTTGATTAAATCCACTTTGTCTGACCTACCTATCTACTTCTTTTTAGTCTTTAAGGCTCCCATGAAAGTTGTGCCGAAAAAATTGAAAAAAATTATTAGGGATTTCCTGTAGGACTCGGGAATTGAAAAGAGAGATCACTTCTTAAATTGGGAGCAAGCCATTCCTTTAGGTAAATGGCTTTGGAGATTTCCCAATGAATTGGAAGCTTTGTGGCATTTGGTTATCAAAAGCATCCATGGTCTTCATCCAAATGGTTGGGATTCTGGCCTTGTCAGAAATTCCACTTTAAAAAGTCCATGGAAAGTGTTACAGAACTGATCTGTACTGGCTTCAGCCCTAGATTAGCAGAGAATAATAGCTGAAGGGAGAGAGAGAGAAGAGAGAAAGAAGAGAAGAAGAAGAAGGAGAGAAAAAACTGGTTCAAACTTTGAACTAGAGAAGATGTCTTTCTCTAGTTGGCCAGGTATTATTTATATGTTTCTGATTAAAGAACACAAAGACACTTATGCCCCTAATTAAGTATGGGACATAGTACTTAAAACCAGAATTAAAAGACATTACACCACACTATTAATATAAAATGAAATGACCAAACTACCCCTGTATAGCCGACTCTAACAGAAAGCAATTATGGACTTACTCCCAACCTTCTTGCAATTTATAAGGTATGATGCTATTGCTAAGAACCAAGGTGAAGTTTCGGGAAGACTTGTAGTGGGGAACCATTACCTTTAGTCAAGCTTTTCCACGAATCTATAACCTTTCTACTCCAAAAAACAAACCTATTGCTGACCTAGTAACTCATGATGGAAGAGGGTGGGTTTGGGATTTGGGTTTGAGAAGAGCTTTGAGAGAGCAAGAAATGGGTGAGATGACTTCTCTCTCTCTCTCTCTATCTTTTGAAGAAAAGTAAGGTATTGTATTAATCAACAAAAAAAGTGTGAAAGTATACAATCTACCCAGGACCCTGTACAATGAGAAACTGTACTATAGAGAGCCCAACAACCCAAATAGCAAAATAACTGAGCCCAACAGGCAATTGCAAAAAAAAACTATCCAAAAATAAAATCTTTTTCAAAGAAAGAACTTGTATTTAAATTACATATAGAATCCAGTAAGTAACATACAGAGCCCAAAACAAACACCATATTAAAATCCCATTCCTAAAAGCTAAACCCTAAACACATCACATTCGGAAAACCCTAGTTCCTCCAGCTTTCGTCAGAAGTGCCACCACCCCTCGAGTAGCGGGATCCACCATCTCCATTGCGATCACAGCCGTAGCCACCACTGCCACGGCTATATCCACCACTGTCACGAAAACCACAGTAGCCACTGCCACCGCCATAACCACCACCACCATCTCTTCTTGACATTCTTCAACAAATAAGTTTGAATCCCTTAGAAATGGATGAGAAAGTGTGGGAACCTAACTCTAATGGCTGTTCTCTTGTGCCTATTCTTTCCAAACCTTTCTTCAATCTTCTGAACCAAACCCTTTCCCTGCAAAAGAAGTTTGGGGCTGCCCTATTCCTCCAAAAGTAAAGGTTTTTTCTGTTAGGAAGCTGCCATACAAATCATTAACACTTGTGAAAGGCTTCAGAAGAAGCAGAAGAACTGGTGTCTCTCACCTCATATTTGTGTCCTTTACTTCAGAGTTGGGAAAAACACTAACCATCTCTTGGTGCATTGTACTTTTACAATCCATCTGTGGGCCCATTTTTTTCTCTCTTTTGGGGTGTGTCTGGGTGCCTCCATCAGAAGTCAAAGAGCTGTTTAGCACAAACTGGGTAAATTGCTGCACAAAGAGACATAAGTTTTTGTGGCAATGTGTTAGAGGTTCTGTGCTGTGGAGTATATGGCAAGAAAGGAGCACCAGAGTTTTTGAGGAGATGGAAAGGAGTGTGGAGGAGTTAATTGAACCAACTATTATCAGCGCTCCACTGGGCCTTGGTGTGTAAAGATTTCAAAGGTGTGCCCCTAAATGATTTGTTAGGAAATGGAAATCTGTCACTGACTTTCAGGGCAGTAAACCAAGGAGGGAGGTCAGTTGGTGTGCTCCAGTGGTAGATAAACTCAAACTGAATTTTGATGGCTGCAGCCTTGGGAACCCATGTAATTTAGGTTTTCGGGGTGTGGTCAGAGATCATAACGGATGTATCTTGCTAAGATTTTCTGGGCTGAGCTAAACTGAAGGCCTTACTTCAAGATTTGGATTTTGGAATTGATGAAAAGAAAGAAATTAAAAAATGTGGAGGTGGAAAGTGATTGTCAAACTTTAATTAGCTGGCTGAAGAAGCAGGAGTTGGTTCCTTTGAGAGTCAGACCTCTGCTGAGGCAGGCACAACACTTGGGGTCCTTATTGAATAGCTCATTCAAGTGGGTACCTAGAAGTGCTAATGCCCTGGCTGATTCCTTAGCCCACTTACTAATCTCTTATCCCTTTTGTGTTGTTTATTTGGGAGTCTTTTTGCTCTCTTTTTGGGTGCAGGTGGATAGCTCCTCAGGATGTAGTGAGTCTTTCGGCCCAAATTTTCTAAGACAGCCAACATAAAGAGGAAGAACAATGTGGAAGGCAGTTAGAACTGCTATGGTGTGGTCCATCTGGGAGGAGAGGAATGCAGGAATATTTAATGAGAAGCTCAGGTCGAAGGAGGAATTTGGGGAATTAATAAAAATTAAAGTGGTTCATTGGATAAAACCCTTGACATCTTCTAATGTTTTACAGTGACTGATATAATAAAGGCTTGGAATGAGGTGCCACACTCTTTAAAACAAAAGGAAAGAGAGATGATGGAATGGAAGCCACCAGCAAGGGATATGATAAAGTTAAATTTTGATGGGAGTTCAATGGGAAAACCAGGGATGACAGGTATAGGTGATGTGTTTAGAGACTCCTCAAGTGCTGGCTATGTAGTCATGACCTATAGGAGAAGGGGACTCATTAAAGGCTGAATTGATGGTGCTGTTACAATGCTTAAAGCTTGCTAAGCAATCCAATTTTAGAAACCTGGAAGTTGAAGGAGACTTAAAAGTCGTTATTTTGTGGATCACTTCTGGTTGCAACATACCTTGGGCTTACATACATGCCTTAAGGGGAGATAGACAATCTGAAAAGGGACCTAATGCTTCCTTTACTTGGATACACAGTACAGATAATGGGATGGCTGACACTTTAGTTATATGGACATTGTTGCATTCTGTATTTTCGGGTGAATGGATACACAGTCTGTTGTATCTTATACCTCCCTTTAATAAGATTAATCCTTTTTGCTGACAAAAAAAATTACAGTACCATTGGGTGTGCACTTATATTTTGTTAATCAAGCGGTTATACACATTCTGATGTATTTTTGTTCATAAGATGAATCAAAATTGTGATATATATCCATCTTGCCTTTATTCTCTCCATGGATCAAGTATGACTTGCATTCTGGTACCCTTATCAAATTCTGGGAACAAGTCTGGGTTGGGGACTTCCCTCTGAAAGATCAATTTCCTGGCCTTTTTGCTTTGTCCTCCCTCAAGAATGAACCAATTTCTTCCTTTATTGCTCCTAATTCACCCTCTGAGTTTGGTTGGAACCTAAGCTTGAGAAGAGGTGCTAGGGACACAGAGATTGCCTGTACCATAGCCTTACTTTCTATCCTTGAAGGGGTCTTTATTGATCCATCTAAGGCAGATAGCAGAATCTGGACACTCACTCCCTCGGGCTCTTATACTTGTGCCTCCTTTTTCAAAGCACTATTACCCTCTCATCCCGCTGGCTTTTCTTTTCCTGTTAAAGAAGTGTGGTGTCGACCCATACCTCCTAAGGTTGGGAGTTTTTGTTGGGAAGCCTTCCTGGGAAGAGTTAATATAGGGGATCTACTCCAAAGGAAAAGACCCAAAGCTGTTTGTCTCCTCATTGGTGTGTTCTTTATAAGTTTAATGGTGAGCCTGGATATCACTTGCTAATTTCTTGTCAGTTTGTTAAAGTTATTTGGGTATGGTTTACTTCTTTGTTTGGATGCAGGTGGACCCCCCTTTGAATGTTCAAAGCTTGTTTTCTTCCATGCTTAATTGGCCAACTAAAAGGGCTAAAATCATGTGGAGGTGTGGTAGAGCTGCTGTATGTTGGACAGTGTGGGAGGAAAGGAACTCAAGGATCTTCTCAAGTAAAGAGAGAGGTATGGAAGAAATTATAGAGAGCATTCACATTAGAATGACACAATGGTTGAGAACACTGGAGCTGTTCAAAGTGTTTTCAGTTG